GGTTGGGAGTTCAATTCTCCACAGTGCTTTCTGGGACAAGAGTCAGCCTGTGTAGCCCTGGGAAAGCTGGACAGTCACAGGATGTCCCCATAAGAAGGGAATGGTAAATCTGAGCATTCTCTACCTAGAAAACCCTGGAAAGGATTGCTGTAAGTCACAATCAACTTGACAGCACATACACACATTATCAATGGATCTGTTCCAATGTAAAATTTCCTCTAGAAGTAACATCCCATTTCCCTTCCTTTCAACCTATGAGTTAATTGATATAGGAAGGAACCTCCACTCCTCTTCCTACCTAGCCACCCATCTCAATATATATTCTCCCCCAATGCACTGAGGAAACTTCTGTTCTGTAACACTGAAATGTGAAAAAAATGTTCAAACCCTGGGATTGCTTCATCGTCGTCGTTTAGTCGTGTCCGACTCTTCGTGACCCCATGGACCAGAGCATGCCAGGCCCTCCTATCTTCCACTGCCTCCTGGAGTTGGGTCAAATTCATTCTGGCAGCTTCAATGACACTGTCCAACCATCTCATCCTCTGCCATCCCCTTCCCCTCTTGCCTTAATACTTTCCTAACATCAGGGTCTTTTCCAGGGAGTCCTCTCTTCTCATGAGATGGCCAAAGTACTGGAGCCTCAGCTTCAGGATCTGTCCTTCCAGTGAGCACTTGGGGTTGATTTCATTTAGAATGGATAGGTTTGTTCTTGCAGTCCAGGGGACTCTCAAGAGCCTCCTCCAGCACCACAATTCAAAGGCATCAATTTTGCGGTGGTCAGCTTTCTTTACGGTCCAGCTCTCACTGCCATACATCACTACACCATAGCTTTGACTATTCAGACTTTTGTTGGCAAGGTGATATCTCTGCTTTTTAAGATGCTGTCAAGGTTTGCCATCACTTTCCTCCCAAGAAGCAGGCATCTTTTAATTTCGGGGCTGGGATCGCTTACTATACTGCAAATACCTGAAAAACTCTAGCTTTTTTGTTTTTGTTTTACATTTCAAATTTGTTTTGTAACTGAGTGATATTTACCTGGACAGTAATACGGATGGTCTCCGATGAACCACTTTTTGAAGGTTTTGAATCCTGTACAGGAAAAATGGAGTGAGGAAGGGGAGTGAATATCTCTAGATTTGTACACGGAGCACCTTACAAGAAGCAAAGCCATCCAGATAACATCAAGATGCTAAAACTTCAGCAAATATTCTAAAATCTTCCAGTACAAATCACGCAGTGGTATAAAATGGCTATAGGGGAGGCCTTTGAAATTCTTCATGGCATTAGTTTTTTATACAGAATCTCTGTTTTCATCTGCCATAGAAGAGAGTCCCTAAGTTCAATAGAATGGACATGTAATAATCCATGGTACATCAGTGCTAATGCAGACACTCAGCATTGATCATCCTTGTTACTATGGGAAATGGAATTTCTAGCTCATGTTAAAAAATGGCATACAAAAGACTAACAACTTTATTATGGCATAAACTTTCATCATTGGTCAAAGTGTTGTACTAAATTAGTGGGTATATTTGCATGGTTGGGAAAGAATTTCAAGCAGTCTGGTTGGAGGAAAATGAAATGAAAAAAGTAAGACAGTGACAAGTATGTTAAGCATTAAGCACGTATAACATTTATTATTGTGGTTTTTCATGAAGCAGAGTACACACAAAAACCCTGGTATTGATAATGGATAAAGAAAGATTTCTCACCTGGGAATAGATTACTCCATTGTATTTAGCATTTGCATATTTCTGGAGGGGAAAGGGAAAAAAATTATTTTATAATCCAGTTGGAAAATAAGTAATCTACATGAGCAAGAAATCTGTGCTCCAGAACGAAAATGCAAGGTTCCTCAGAAGCTCCTCAGAAGTTCTCAGAACACCAATAAAGATAGACTGCTTTCTTACCTCTGCCAATTGTTCTTCGAAATATGAAATTACAGGATATGCCAGTGTTTGTATACATGCATTCAAGTACAGTATACTCTACAGTAGAGATGTGCAAATTGCAGTCCTCCACAATGCTGGGCAAGAGGAGAAGGGGAGAAGGGGTCATGAAGAGTTAGGCACGACTAAACAACTAAACGACTATGATAATGCTGGGCAATAACTCTCAACGGCCATAGTCAACATTGTCGTCGTTTAGTCGTTTAGTCGTGTCTGACTCTTTATGACCCCATGGACCAGAGCATGCCAGACCCTCCTATCTTCCACTGCCTCCCGGAGTTGTGTCAAATTCATGTTGGTTGCTTCAATGACTCTGTCCAACCATCTCATCCTCTGTCGTCCCCTTGCCTTCACACTTTCCCAACATCAGGGTCTTTTCCAGGGAGTCTTCTCTTCTCAGGAGATGTCAACATAGCCAATGGCAAAGAATGCTGAAAGATGTACTCTAATTATGTCTGGAGCACCATACTTTAAAACCACAATGAAACTCAGCAGATTGTTTATCCACATTCCATGGAGCTAGAAGATGTCTCTAAAGCCTCTCTACTGCATATCTAGAGGCTTTGCAGCCAGCCTGATAGACATTAGGCAAAGTGAGGGGGCAACTACATTGGTCATTTACCCAGCAATTTGTAACAGATTAGGCACAGATAAATTGTCTCTTTTCAGTGGGGAATTGTCTTTTTTGTTTTCCCAGCTAGCAGATGTGGTTTAGATTTGCTCCAACTGGGTTGGCATAACTTATCCTTGCTTTCTGCCCAGTGTGATCACCTGAGCTGAAGGCAAAGTGGGGCTGCTAGTGGTCATTGCCCTCAACTTGTGCCTTTTTGTCTGAGGATAGAATGTTTGATTGTTTGTCTGACTGTTTTAAAAGGCTTCCAAGGAAACCCTGGAACACCATATTGCTAGAAAACTTCAGAAAAGTTTTTTTAAAAAAAATCTTAAAGGTGGAAATTGCCAATTAGCATCTTCTCAAATTGTTTGATAACAGTAATTTCACCCACTGAAAC